CAGGGAGTGAGCATGTCCCCCACTTCCAGTGAGCTATTTATCTCCTTAGTGCCTCCAAATGAGGTCATCAAGGTGCTGCCTGATTGGCAGGGTAAACTCCACCCCTTCACTCTCAAGTCTCAAATTGAGAACAGATTATGTAACTACCACACATGGGATGTACTCAATGACTATTATCACTACATAAATTATTGTGAATCTTACACAGAGCATTAGATGTCTCAGGCAAGATTGTACCCTATACTGAAAACTCTCCATTTACAGGACTAATTTGAGAATGGTACTCACTATAATATCTCTCTTGGTAGTGAGCAAGGAAAAATACTATCTATTCTTTTCCTTTTTTTTCCCTTCTCTGGGTACTCCATTTGACCCCTGTCATGAAGTATCCCATATTCATTATCTAGTTTGGGAGTCACTTCCTGTTGTTCTTAGGTGTTGTCGAGCTAATTCTGATGCTTAGTGACACTCTGTACAACAGAACAACATAGTTCTGATGGAGATGCTTGAATGGCCAATGATTCATGAATTTGAGTTGAAAAGGCAGCTGTTCTTTTCCAAATAGGATTAAACAAACCATAGGTACTGAGAGCTTTTTATCTCTTACAACAAGGTCAGTCAATGAATTAAATTTTGTTTTCACTTGCCTTCATCCTATTTTCAATGTCTTCTGTCTTTCTGGTGCTCCAAGCCTTTACTTTTTCTCATCCTCGAGAGGACTCCAGACCCTATGCATTGTACTCTCTGATCCACCTATCTCATCAAAACTTAACTCAGCTGTTTTCACCTCATTATCCTGGAATGCAATAGACATATAACATGCGATTATCTAGACATGCTAATATCTGAGGCAGCAGGGGGGGGCGGTTCTATTTAATTCCTCTCCCAAGTCACAGTTATTTCCAACACCCTAAAACCTAACAAAGTGAGTTTCAATATGTAGGGCATCCTCAGAGATAAGGTAGACCAAGCAGGACCCCTTAAATCACACCACATTATCAATTCCCTGTTCTGTCTGCTTTGCATGAATGCAAGGGAGCAGTGGGGCAGAGAATCTAAAATCATTTCCACTTAGTTTGGGAATGCATCATCCAATGGTACTGTCACTGATTTGCCATGCTAATTATGTTCTCCTGAAACTAATATTGAAATTGGTGTACATTTTTTAAGCTAATATGGGCCAGAATGGGAAAGAGATGGTGGTATGGCACATTTTGAAATGAACAAAAATTGGCACTAAACATGAGGGGAATGTCAAAGTTCTACCAATGGGTTAATGGCGTACACAAGATAAATATGAAAATATCAAGACAGAACTTCACCATACTTGGTTAGCCACCTGCCCCGTGTTACACACTAGACACTAAAATGCCTATCTTCCTTATAGCTTGCCTGGAATCTAAAATTCTCCATGACTGGAGTGAAACTACTGCTTAATTACTTACATGCTAAGCAATAGATTACTAACTGAACGGCTGGAACTTCCAACCCACCCGGAGGTGCCTCAGAAAGTACACTTGGCAATCTATTGAAAACCCTATGGATCAGTTCTATTTAACACTTGGGGAGTCACCATGAGTCAGAATCAACTCAACAGCAATGAATCCATCATTCAGATGCTATCTTATGGGGTCCTGGTGGTATAGTGAGTATGCTAACTGGTATGCTAACTGCAAGATCGGCAGTTTGAGCCACCAGTCACTCCTGGGGAGAAAGATGAGGCTACCAGCTTCCATAAAGAGTGACAGTCTCAGAAACCCACCGGGACAGTTCCACTCTATCCTATAGGGTCACAATGAGTTGGAATCTACTCTATGACAGAGAGTCAGTGAGTGAGTGAGTGAGTGAGTGAGTGAGTGAGTGAGTGAGTGAGTGAGTGAGTGAGTAACCCTGTCTTGAAGGTCTTAATCTTAAAACTGAAGGGAAAGCTTTGTGTGATATAGGAGGATTACCACATCTGACTAAATTATCAGCCATCACTGTCACCTACTAGAAAACACACTGAAGGCATCAGACATGAGACAGTTAGCTGTACTTCCATGGGGAATGGGTACATCAAAGGGTCTCTGTGAAGTTAAGGTGGGAGCACAGGAGCACTGAGTATCTGGGGAGGGAGGGAAGGAGCTTGCTGAAAGAGGGTAAGACCTTCCTCCTTCACATGTATTCTTAGTATCCTGCTCATGGTGGATATAGATGACAGACAACTCCATCAAATACATTCTTCTCTTACTATTCTTCTGTTATGTAACCAGGCTTTCAAGAGCTTCTAGAGATTTTTCAGTGATCTTGGTTTTCTTTTGAAGCTTGTAATTTAGAGCCAATTCTAAACTGTGTGTCATATTTCCATCCCACAAGCTGCAACAAGGGACCATGGGGCTATTGACATTTTCCTCTCTTTTTCTCATTACAGTCTGCTCCCAGTTCTCAAGAGGGGTGTATGCCATCTTTGGATTCTATGACCAGATGTCGATGAACACCCTGACCTCCTTCTGTGGGGCCCTGCACACATCCTTTGTCACGCCCAGCTTTCCCACTGACGCAGATGTGCAGTTTGTCATCCAGATGCGCCCAGCCTTGAAGGGCGCTATTCTGAGTCTTCTGGGTCACTACAAGTGGGAGAAGTTTGTGTACCTCTATGACACAGAAAGAGGTAAGCAAAGGCAGCTCTGCATACTTTGGTATTTAACTTTCCTCAACTCATGCTCCTTTCTCTCCCAATGAATAAAAATCTCATGCTCTCAATGGATTTTATGTGACATTCCAAAAAAAGGAAGAACTAGAAATCAAGGCAATGGTTGTTTTATAATCTGATTTTTCAAACTGTGTATGTCCTCTTCCCCTGATATTGGATAATGTGTTAGTCTGGGTAGACTAGAGAAACAAATTCATAGACACTTATATATGTATAAGAAAGAGCTTTATATACAGGAGTAATTGAATATTGAGAAAACTTCCCAGCCCAGTCCAAATCAAGCCCATAAGTCTGATATTAGCCCCTATGTCCACTACCAATCTATAAATTCCTCTTCAGACTCATGCAACACATGCAATGATGCCAAATGCAGGAAGATCACAAGCCAGTGGGTGGAAAGTCTAGTGGATCCAGTGGCAGTGGAAGCATCTCAGTGCTGGCAGGGGTCTCCACGCAGCACCTCCAGCTCCAGGGCTCTGGCTACATCAGTATAGCTCTATCAGGCTCATCCTCAGTAATGTCTCACAGACAGTGAGCATGTGTCCCGCCTCAAGCGAGCTATTTATCTCCTTAGTGCCTCCAAATGAGGTCATCAAGCTGCAACCTGATTGAGAAGCTAAACTCTGCCCCTTCACTCTTAAGTCTCAAATTGACAACAGATTATGAAGCTACCACAGATATTCTGTTTGGTAGAGTCACTGTTATTTTAAAACACCCCCTCTTCAATTTAAAAAAAAAGTAGCTGGTCTGAAATATGGATAAAAAGCACCTTCCTCTAAAATGGAGAGAGGACTAGATTGGAAAGTTTGGCAAAATTAGTCCTGTCAAAAATTATATGTACCCTCAGTTTATGAAGGAGAAAACTGAAGTCTAAAAGTAATTGTCCTAATTCACACAGTGGTTTATCCACAGACCTGAAGCTGGTACCCATGTCTCTAGTTTCCAGGGCTTGTTCCCCAAGAGCACATTAGGTCTTCAACTACCTGGGCCTCAGCCTGATGCAAATAAGGCCAATGTTGGGCTTTGGGGATAGCTGGGAATTTTTTTTTTCTAAAATGAGATAATATGTGGAAGGGGCACTCTATTGAAGCAGTCTCTGATATTAAGAACCAGATCTTAAATCTCAACGCATGTGTATAAAAATGGTACAGATGCAGTGCCTGGCCTCCTCTAACTTCACAAAAGGATGCGGGAGGATGCTAGCATCATAAACCCAAGGCTGATTCCTCTGAAGCAAAGGGCCAATATGCCTCCATCTTCTGACCTTCTTTATCCATTCTGACCCAATTTCCCTCCCATGGCACTCTCTATTTTTCTCCTGAGTTCAGTAATTTGTTCCAAGGGCCCGACAGACCTCATAGACCGTACTCAAAATTATGGGGTTTATTAGGGAAGTAACTGAGTACAATTCAGGATCAATGATGCTCAGGACACAGTTCTTCAGGTAGTACAGCCTCCCCTCAGCTGTGCTCCCAGGTACATGCCACAATCTAACCCCAGCCTGCTTGAGCATCCCAAAGCATTTTTAGCACTGCCAATAGATGCCCACTGCCCCAGTAAGCCTCAACCTGAAAGCACTCAACTCTCATTCTGTGGATCTTCAAACCGAACTCTCCTTGGTAAGTACCCAGCAGCGCCTCACTCTGCCAGCAAGCCTACCCATAGGCCCTCGGCTTTCTTGCTCTGTGGGCTAGGAAGTCCACTGGGACAACTGCCAGCTCCTGGTTCTCCTGCCTCTGCTGCTGCCACTTCTCTACCACTGCTTCTCACCACCTCTGATGTCACAGTGCTCTGTCTACGAGATAGCATCCCGAAATGCTATCAGGACATACGGAGGCCCGTATTTGTCTATGATACCCAAACAAACAAATAAACAAACCCACTGCCCCAACTTGGAGTCAACTTGCTAGCACTGGGTTTTAACTCACCTGATACCCTTTAACTTTCCATGGAAAATGGTACAAAAGTGAGAGAAGAAGGAGGGGGCAATTACAAGGACACTTGGCCAACCAGAGAATGGTAGTGGGGACTAGACAGGAGAGGAAGAAAATTGGATCGAAGTGACATTCATTTTGGAAACAGAATCAGTAGGACTTAGAGGCAGATTGTGGGATGGGAGGAAGAGGAAGACTTCGTGGGTGACCCCGGAGCTTTTGGCTTAAGAAACATCATAGATGGTGCTATTTATTATGATGACGAGGTGGGAGGAAAACTAGCTATGAGGAACAGCTATCTCTCCTAACCTCTGAATGCCTGCAGGCCTCTTTGGTCCCTGTTATTCGCTTGGCATGTAATAGAACTGCTTTCTGTTGTTGTCTCACCAAGTCTGCTCTGTGTGTTCTAAATCCTTCTCCCCAGCCAGGTACTAAGCATTTAGGTAGCCCCTAGATGTATACTTTAGGCCTCCTCTGGTACACAATGCAGGCCTGGACACATAATTAGTGTTTTCCCAACCTACCATGGATTTGTCCAGAATAATCACCATTTTTGTTTTTATAATATTAGGCTGCAAGGAAAGAAAACAGAATAGAAAGAAAAGATGAGGAGTGAGCGAGAAAGCCTAATTTTCAAATCAATCTAATAAAGATTTGAAATGTTTCTATTCTGTTTTTTCACTCTTATATATATCTATTGTTTCTGTAATAAAAAATCGATAAAAATGAACTTGTGAAATATGATTTTTAGATGATTTTGAATTATATAAGAAAGAGATGGAAAACAGAGAGAAAAGGGAGCACCTATAATTACATCTACATAAGCTAAAGATACAAATGATATGATTTCACCATAAAAGGGCAGGGATGAGTGAGGAGCTGAGAAATGGGGTAAGCTTTTGAGGTCATTTAAAGGATTTGTAGGGCAATCCAGGAAATGTTGGCTCTGAAAACATGAAACACTGGATTGATTTCAGGACTTTCATGGCTATTTGAGATCTGTCTGCAGAGAAAAGGCTGATGGTGTGTTTGTGGAGCATCACTTTGATACTAAAATACTGCCTTAGTTTATTACTACAAAATTAAAAATTGTACTCTTGGTGCTATATACATTAACAGCTCAGCTCTTAGGAAAATTATGCGGTTGACTAGATGTGTCCTCTGCCACCTGTGTAACCTCTTTTTTTAATTGACATACCTGTCTTCTTTTATATAGTGAACCTTACTATGACGCGTCCACATCTACCAGGAGCAATGCCTCAGATGTCTCTGTCCCAAGCTATCACTACGCTTCCATAACATAACATAACATAACATAACATAGCATAGCATAGCATAGCATAGCATAGCATAGCATAACATAACATAACATAACACAACAATAATTGTCCTGTCCTGCATCTTGTTTCCATGGATGAATAGGCTTTTTTGCTGGTCCGACAATAGCTTAGCTGATTGATTCAGTCATGTGAATTTATTTATGGCTATAAATGAATTTCCGGGAAAAAATCTGGATTTTGGCAAGGGTCATCTCTGGCAGTTGAACCTCAATTCAAAGTATGACTTTCTAATTCTGAGATACCAGGCGCCACGCGTCTAGGTTGGGGGGTCCTTTGCCAACATGTCTTCTTTTCTAGAAAGTCCTAAAACTATACCCGGGAGGGGACCACCTCATCCAATTTTATCTAAGACCTTTCTTTGCAGTATAAATCACCCATCACTCTGTGGTGCTAGCATTTTCCCTAGAAGAGCAACATACCTGAGAACTTCAACCAGATTCTCCTGTGCACCTAACGACTCTCCTTGGCTTCAATGGGCTCAGCTCACGGAGATGCACGAAGCTAGCCCAGGCTGTGGCTTTCAGCTTAGATAATGAGATAATAGCTCTAGGTGCCCTTTGAAGCAACCAGTCCCTACTTTCTTGCTGGTGTTCAATAAACTCCTGCTAACTCTCATTCCCAGCCTGAACCTCCCTACTTAGTTCCCAAGTAACTCTCTGGAGGTCAACAACCTTTTAACAGACCTTTGTATTTGTTCTAGAAGGTTGTGGTGGGAACATGGGTAGTTATAACAAGTAGTCAATCAGCCAACAAGCAATTATTAAGCCTTTCCTAGGGCTAACTTGCACTAGGCCACTGGTGGGGTTTGAAAGAGAAGCAGAATTAGGCCCTGCTTTTGAGAGTTGACAGTCTTATTGTTGTTAAGAGTGATTTATTGCAAGCCTGAAAAAAATGATTTTTAAAGCCAACAGCTTCAACATCCACCAATGACATTTGCATTCATTAGGGCAGGCACCTTGTGACAAGATTAAAGAGTGGCCAGAAAGCTAGGAAAATGGGGAAATGTTGGAAGGTCCGTAAGGGCTTAAGGGGTAAAGAGATTTCGCAAGACAAGAAGAAAAATGTCTTTCCTCAGAGGATTGTAAATGTTATCAGATTCGCTGCAATGGGATTCAATTGAGAGACAAGCAGAACTTCAATTCTTTATATCTATCTTCCTCTATGTTGCCATCTACCACCTACTTACATAACCTAGCCTAATCCATTCCATCCAATTCTACCTTCCTAATGAAGCTTGGAATACATTTCTGTGTGTGTGTGAGTGTGTGTGTGTGTGTGTGTGTGTGTGTATCTCCCCAAACCCAATGCCTCTCTCCTCCCTCTCCTCCACCGTAATACACATATACATACACGTGCATGCACACCAATAAAATTCAATTGCGTAAATCAAGAAAACCCTACTACAACATCTTTTTTTATCATCATGATAAGAGCGGCTACCATTTCTTAACCAGTCATTTCATTTAATCCTTACAACACTCCTGCCCTTTTACAACTAAGAAAAATGAGGCATAGAAAGGTTAAGTGATGGTGCTTAGGATCACCCAGTCAGAAGTAACAAAACCAGGACAAAATTTAGGTGTGCTACATTCCAAAGAGGATGTGCTTGTCTTTGGACTGAAATACTGCCTTCTAGAATTCTAACATTTAAAAAATGTCAGCATTTAAGTCCCTTCAACCATTC